TAACATTTAAAGAAAATTCTTTGGGAATTTCACACCATGCACCCCAATTCCACTCATCTCCCAGTCCGTCCGTGTCCACCCTCCACCCCATAGCCTCCTTGCAAAAAAGAAAAGAAAAAAAATAATAAAACACAACAAAACCCACCTTGTTCCTCTGTCTTGCCCACCTCTCCATCACATATTCGCTCATCATCATAGTGGCATTGGGAGCTGCAGTGTGCCACGCAGTACACCTTTTTGTCCACACAACTTTACTTGCAAATGTTCATTGCAGTGAGTTGTTGGTCTAGTTCAAGGCCTCTGGCTTCTGCTACACCATTAAAACTGGACCCTCACCTAGGCTTCTCTCAGATATTCTGCTGTGCCCTGAGTCACGGATATCCTGCGGCTGTGGTTCTGCAGGACCAGTCCCTTCATCCGCCACTGCAGCAGGTCATAAATGGGATAGATATTGGGGTGTGTCCATTCAAAGCCCTGGTTGTGTATCTGGGTGGTAGCTAGGTTGGTCAGCCCGGGCCTCCGCTGGGACCCCCCCTTCCCCTCAGGTAAGGGGTGGAGCCAGTTCTCCTGCGCCCATGCCTTCAGGACCAGGTCTCTGGCAATCACACCACCACCAGTACCATCGTGCTTCCTGGGGGACAGCTCTCCTGGGAAGAGCAGAGCCAGCTCTCCTGCTTCAGTGACCCACACCCATGCCACTGGCGCTAGCTCTCCCTGTGGGGGGCAGGACCAGCTCTCCCATGCCCATGCCACTAGGGCCGGCAAGGGGCGGGGCTTGCTCAGCAAGGACCACGGACTTCACCATAGCTTTAGGGACATCCACTGCAGCTCAGGCAGGGAAGTCGTTATGGCCTCTGGTGGCAACTCTGATCTCTCAGATAAGTATGGCTCTGTCTGCAGCAAGGCCCTCTGACATCAGCATGGCCTCAGGTGGCGGCCCAGACTACTGACATCCTCATGGTCTTTGCTGATAAGGCGGTTCATGGACTTCTACAGAGACCCGGACTGGGGTGGGTCATGGACTCAGACATGGCCCCAAGTGGCAGCACAGGCCACTCCCCTCAGCCATTTCCTCAAGGCCATCGCGTCTCCGGTTCGGCCCCTCTCCACAGCACATGAGAGACTCCACTTCTCTTTCTCTCCCATTTCTCCACCACGTATTTGCTCTTCGTAGTGATGCCAAGCGGAGGGCAGACTGCTCTGCTTTGATTTCTTTCTTTCTTTCAAAGGCTCCACAAAGGCCAGTTTAAGGCCCTGGTGGATAGTCAACAAATGTTTGTTGGAGAACGATGAGAGGTACTTTAAGAGAAGGGAAATGCTGGGGAGCCCTCTGGTCTTATTGCTGCCTCTCTTGGAAGTACCTCGTGTTTCTTTTCAAGGCAAACCTGTCTCTGTCTTGCTCACACGGCTCAGCAGACAGATTCTGACATCTCTCTCTCTATCTGTACAGCTTCATGTTATTTCTTTTTTTTTTTTTTTTGGTTTTTCGAGACAGGGTTTCTCTGTGTAGCTTTGCGCCTTTTCTGGAACTCACTTGGTAGCCCAGGCTGGCCTCGAACTCACAGAGATCCGCCTGGCTCTGCCTCCCGAGTGCTGGGATTAAAGGCGTGCGCCACCACCGCCCGGCTCATGTTATTTCTTATTGAAACTGAGCCAGGTGTAGGGGAGGAAGTTACACACTTTTAATCTTTTTTTTGTTTGTTTGTTTGTTTTTGGAGACAGGGTTTTTCTGCGTGCCTCGAACTCACAGAGATCCGCCTCCCTCTGTCTCCCGAGTGCTGGGATTAAAGGTGTGCGCCACCACTGCCTGGCCTACTTTTAATCTTTTTACCTCCACTTTTTAATCTTTTTGAGGCTGTTTCACAGTGCAGCTCAGGCTGATCTTGAACTCCTGATCCTCTTGCCTCAGCCTCCCCAGTTCTTGAACTCCTGATTCTCCTGCCTCGGCCTTCCCAAGATTACAGGTGTGTGCCACAATGCGTGGCCTTCACTCCTGGTTTCTGATAGAACAGTTAGTTGACAGTGCAAGAAAAGAGGACTGTGAGAATGAATTAGGTACCCACTTGGGGTCTACCTGGAGTTGAAGATTCCCTCTTTGCCTCCCTGCCTATGCAGGGGGTTGGAATCCCTGTCTCTCTGACTTTGTGTGAGTTGCCTGGCAGCCAGACACACTATACAGGCATGGGTTTAATTCCTGGCCAAACCAGGATGACTGATGTTCAGAAAAGCCTTCCAGAATCAGATCGAGCATCCTGAGAAGCTATGCTCACAGGTTCATCCTTCCTTCCTTCCTTCCTTCCTTCCCTTCCTTCCTTCCTTCCTTCCTTCCTTCCTTCCTTCCTTCCTTTCCTTCCTTCCTTCCTTTCCTTCCTTCCTTCCTTCCTTCCTTCCTTCCTTCCTTTCTTTCTTTCTTTCTTTCCTTCTTTTCTTTCTTCCAGAGGTGGTTCTCTCTCTCTCTCTCTCTCTCTCTCTCTCTCTCTCTCTCCTTCCCTCTCTCCCTCCCTCCCCTCTCCCCCCTTTACTACTTTGCTAAAGTGCTGGACCTAGAGATGTGCATCACCGCTCTCAGTTTAGGTCCCCATTTCTGTCCTCCCCATGTTTCCTGTTTCCCTCTCTTCATTCATCTCTGTCTGTGCCCGTCTCCATTCACTGATCTCTTGTCTTTCCCCTGCTATGGTTCACTCTCGTTCTAGCCTCCCCGCTCCCTTTGCCCATTCTTGTACTACGATCTTTTCCTGGGAAACCATCTCCCTTTCTCTCTTGTTCTACTCAGCTCTGTTCTGTTGTTCTAACGAAATGCCTTGGATAACAAGCTCACACGTGGAAAAGGCCTGTTTAGTTTATGGATTTGGAAGCCCCGGTCCGTGATTTCTCTCGGTCTCTGCTGAGACAGCACATCAGGGCTGGAGCATGTGTCCGAACAAACTTCTCACCCCGTGACTCAGGAAGTAAAAAGAGCAATAGGAAGAGCTCATGCTCCCATAATCCCCTTTGATGGCACATCCCCAATGACACATAGACTTCCTCCGAAGCTGCTTCCATGAAAGGTTCCATCACCTCGCTGTAACATCACTCTGGGGACCAAGCCTTTAAGACATGGGCCTTTGGAAGACACTCAGCAAACTGTAAGCATCACACATCCTCTGTCCCTCAACCTCACTCTTCACGTTGAGTATAGACTCATGACGTTTTAACAGCTGCCCCTTCACCTCTCCTTTGCTCTTTCTAGGAATTTCTTAATGAGACTAGGGAGGACTGAGTTGGGGGCCTCCATGAAATCCTTGGCTGGAGAAAACACGCGTGGACGCATTTTTGAGCGCAGGCAGCCACAAAAGTTGATTTGTAGCTAATCCTAAATGCAGGAAAAGATTTTCAATTACAAAGCTCATAAAGTGTAGAGATGAGGGAACCTGGCTGCGTGCTGTGTTTGACTAATGGTCTCAAAGTGCTTTGAAATCTTTGGCATGTGCCGGCCTCTCTTTCTTCCCTAATCTTCAAACCCACGGGTTTTAATGGGAAACACGATCTTCTTTTCTGATTCATTTACACTTAGCTCATCTGAGTATTGTTTTCGAAAAACCATCTGAAGTCCAAGAAGTTTTATGAGATCTTTAAAAACTTGGTTTTCGAACAAGGAAGTTGTGTACTGCCAATATAAATGGGCCTTGGACCCTGGTGGGGTTTGGGGCCAGGGTCTGTGGCACTAAGCTGGGTTGAGACTTGGCAAAGGCCGATCTCAATTCCTGACAGAAACTGGGCTTTCACTTTCAGGATTAATAGTGAGTTCAGTGTTTGAGATGAGCGACCATCTCGTGTGATATTACGTGAGGGACACAGTGCAATTCCCAAGGATTGTCTTGCTAGTCATGTAAATAACAAGAGACTTGTGGAAGACTGTGGCTCCAATGGTATCTGCCAGCAGCCCCCAAGTAGGGCTGCTTGCTCGTGCACATGCTTGTATATTCATGGTGGTGTAGACACGCATATGTTCCAGCATGTGTATGGGCTCCTAGGGATGGAGTGAACATTCCCACTAGAGATTACTCATGTGGGAGGTTATAAATTGGCTGAAGATGCATCAGAAATGCTGCCCCCCCCCCACTGCTGTCAAGAGAAAGAAAGATTGCATTGTATATTTTCAATGGTAGAAGACATTTGTAATTTTTTCTTTCTTTCTTTTTGGGGTGGGCATGGTTATGGTGTGTGTGTGTGTGTGTGTGTGTGTGTGTGTGTGTGTGTACATGCTTGCCTTTATGTTTGTTCAGAGGCCAGAGGAGGACATTGGGTGTCCTGTGTTATCATTTCTGCCTTATTCCCTTGAGACAGGGTCTCTCACCTAACCTTGAGCCAGGCTGATGGCTGGCAAGTCCCAGCATCCTTCATTTCCTTCCCCCACCCCATACAGTGCTGGGCTTACAAGCTCCTGTGACCATGTTCTGCTTTTGTGTGGGTGCTGGGGATTTGAACTCAGGTCCTTGGGGTTGCACAACAGGTACTCTTACCTCCTGAGCTATTTCCACAGGAAACACTTCTCTGTGGAGCCGCAGAGCAGAGTAAAAGTCAGTTTCATTGCAAATACAGTGATTGCAAGCAGACCCCCCCGATTATCTAGAGACTGACATCCAGACAGGTGGGGTGACTTGCTCAAAGTAAAGTAGCAAGGCTAGGTCTGGAGGGTCTGCTTCCAGCTGTGACTTCTGCAGACAGCTGCTTCTCCTGTCCTGGATGCGGCATTGACCTAGGTCATCTATCCCTCTTGGTCCTGGGAGACCAATGGTCCCATCCATTACTGAAGACTAGTAAAGACTTCTTGTTGGTGATGCTGTCCTGGGTCATTCTTCCCTTGTCAGGTCTCTTCCTCACTTCCCACCCCATGGCCTCCTTCATCAAAATGTTCTCAGCCTTGCCTCACGCTTCCTTCCCCACTCCCTGTCCGCTGCAACTAGCTGCTTAGAAAAATCCCTACAGGACACACAAAATCTTCATGGGCAGGCTTGAACTGTAGCTAGGAAATGTTTTTTTTTTTTCTCTTGTGAATTGTCCACAAGATGACAAAGAATTATCGGCTATACTATGACGTAGGATCGTGGAGATCAAATCCTGGCTTGTGAGTAACAAATTCTGTTACTTTTCTCTAAGTGTTACTTAATTCAGTTGTTTATCTTCTTAAAGGCTTTATTTAGCTCTTGTTTCCCCAGCCAGATAGGTTTCCTTAACACAAAGGCTTTGTGCCTTGGGATACTTTGTAGCTCCAGATAGATACAAGGATGCTGTCTGTATATCTGTATGCCTTTTGCTCAGCAGACCCTTGACAGACATTTGTTCCCTTGTCTTATAATTCATACAGAACCCAAAGATGCAGACGTGAGACAGTGTCTTGGCTCTCCCCCTCATTATGGTTCATTTTGACCTGGCTCTGAGGCTGAATTGGAATTATCTTGTACAGAGGGACAAGCTGTTAGGGTGGGAAGGGACTTTTCACCCAGTTGGTGTGTGTTGAGGAAGCAGGATTTCTGAGAGTAGAGGTGAAGTGCCTGTGCCCTGTAGTAATTGGTAATCATTTTAGGCTGGGGCCCCGGTGTATTTCTTGGATGACAGTGATTCTAAGACGCTGCTCTTGAAGAAAGGGAGTGTTCGGGCAGCTGGAGGCCCAGGCTTCTCCGATCAAACACTCACCAGTATTTCTGCAATGTACAGAGAAAAGTAGATCAGAGATTGCTTCCTCAACTTGAAATGATCTTTTTTTTTTATCATCAATATTTCTTAAATCATTCTCGCTCGCTACCACTTCTATGGAAATCTAGCAAACAAAGGCAATCAAACTTATTAACAGGAGAGAAAACCAAAGTCTGGAGAAAGACCCTTATTAGTTTATGTTTTTAAAAATTTGTCTTTTTTTAAATGTGTATTTTCACTGTTTTGTCTGCATATGTGTATGGGCACCTGGAGGTCAGAAGAGGGCATCAAACCCCTGGATCTGGAGTTACAGATAGTTGTGAGCCAATATGTGGGTGCCGGGAATCTAATCCAGGTCTTCTGAAAGAGCAGTCAGTGCTCTTAACCACCGAAACCACCAAGCTATTTCTCCAGACCTTTTTTTTTTTTTTTTAGATATACAGTTATTATCATGGACTTTCGATTTCAGGCATGTAATAACAGCATGCATTCTGTTGATAACATTGTTTTATTTCAAATGTTAGCAGTAAAGATGTCATTTCCTGGTTTTCTCCAAAACTCTCTTTCACCCCCTCCCTCCAACACACACACACACACACACACACACACACACACACACACACTCTTTAGGAATACAAAATGCTCCACTCTACAAGGACCACCGCCTGGGCGGTCTCTGCGGGTTTTCTTCATTTACAGGGCGCCCCCTGCTGCCCGCCATGCATTTTCGACCCTCCAATTCCAGAAGTAGGGTACCACCAAGTCACCCGGAGTTATCCTTAGGTCTAATAGGACTAATCACTTTCCAAAGGACAGCTCAGCCTACTTCGGATAGGCTTTTCTGGGGCCCGACCTAGTGTTTTAATCCAACTCCTGTTGACAATATACGAGCAAACTCGGGTAAGAAAGTGCCTGAGTTTCCAATTGCATAGCCTGAATCTATAGGGCTGCTAGAAAAAAAGGCTGTTCCGGTACCGTTCTGAGCCCTTTGTCTTCTCCTGGGACTGGGAACCGAGGACTCGGGGAGCAGGGACCTCAGTCCACCCGACCCACAGCCCCAATCTCTGGATGCGGAGGGTGGTGGCTCGTTCTCCCGGCTCATCTCAAGCTTTCCCCAATTAGGATTTGCTGCCTGACGTCACGTCTGTCGCAGATTGGCTGTTCAGATCTGACACACGGCTCCACCGGGGAGAAGAAACTTTTAAAAGACTTTGCAGCCGGGGCTGCCTCCGAGCGTCCAGCGCTCACGATCGTCCTCTCCCACCCTCGCGGGTTGGCGCCCGTGGTACCCCGGCTGCACCCCGCGACACCCCGGCTGAGCCAGGGGACCCTCACCTTGCGCAGCCCGCGCCCCTCCCCTACTCCCCACCCCAACTCCCGCCCCCTGCTCGCCACCGCTCCCGGCTGGGGTCCGCTGCCGCTCAGCCGCCCGCAAAGCTCCCTCCCCTGCGGCCACCCAGTCGGCCTCCACCCCGCCGCGTCCCAGCTCTCCGCGGAGTCCTCGGGGGGGGGGGGGGGGGATACCGAGCGAGCGAGCGCGCCGGGGCAGGTCGAGCCGCGCGGCCGGAGACTGGCCGCGATGGCGGGAGCCTGGCTCAGGTGGGGACTCCTGCTCTGGGCAGGGCTGCTAGCGTGGTCTGCTCACGGCCGGGTGCGGAGGATCACGTACGTGGTGCGCCCGGGCCCGGGGCTGGCGGCCGGAGCCTTGCCTCTGGCTGGGCCCCCACGGACCTTCAACGTCGCGCTGGACGCCAGGTACAGCCGCAGCTCATCGGCCACCTCCAGCCGCTCCTTGGCCGGGCCCCCAGCCGAGCGGACCCGGCGCACCAGCCAGCCTGGCGGCGCGGCCCTGCCGGGGCTGCGATCACCGCTGCCACCCGAGCCCGCGCGTCCGGGGGCTCCCGGCCGGCAGCTCCACTCTAAGGCCGGTGCTCAGCCCGCGGTCACCCGCTTCGCCAAACATGGCAGGCAAGTCGTGCGCTCCAAAGTGCCCCAGGACACCCAGAGCGCCGGGGGCTCCAGGCTGCAGGTTCAGCAGAAGCAGCAGCTGCAAGGGTAAGCCCACGCTCTGCCCGCCTCCCGCGCGGGGACCCGCCGGGGCTCGAGGGACCGTCTCCTCCCCACCGGGGGCGCTGCGGGAAGGGGCGAGCGCGGGGGAAGCCCGCTCACTTTTACTGGCGTTTAACTCCGAGTGCATTGTTACGGAGCTGCGGGGGAAACACAAAAGGCATTTATTTCTTCCCCGGGGCGTAACCTCCTGTGCACAAACCCTTCTGCTCCTAGACCATGGGCGTAAACATGAAGTCACTAGAGCTTAATCCCAAGGCATCAATTAAACTTCTTGCAACTCGGTTTTTTTTATTTTGGTTTACCTAATGAAAAAGGGATTGGGAGTGAAAGTTGGCTTTAAAGACCCAGCTCTCCTTGGGCATCCTGGCAATTGTAGACCTGGGTTTTCTGGCACCTGTGGGGGTCGGCTGTCCTACGGTGGTAGGGGTTGCGGTTTGTAGAGCAGTGGGGCTTGGAAGGTTTGTTATTCAGTGCTGGTTAAGTATCCCCACGGCACTGCTTTCTCTCCATTAATCACAAGTTGGGGTGGGGGCGTCTTAATTTGGACATTTGGCTCCCCCCGCAACCCCCCCCCCCCGCAAGGCTGGATCCCCTAGGAGTGATCTCACTTTGTGTGTGTGTGTGTTGGGGGTGGGGGTGGGAGGAGAGGATGCTTCTCTCTGAAGCAAAGTGGGCCCAGAGAATATACAGACTACATTTGACTCTGTTTTAATTTGGGGGTTAAGACAACCATTAGTTTGGATTTTTATTCTCCGCCCTTTGGCAGGTGAATGGTCCCCTTACCCTTTCACTTGGGCAACTTTGGGTTGGGCATCCTGAGTGCATAGGGCTCTCTCTAATCCAGAGGAATGTGGAAGCAAGAGATTGGCTTTTCAGGAACGCTCTGAAAGCGGGAATTCTTGGGAAGTGAGCGTCGTTGGACTCAGGGGTCTGGTTTTGTTTCAGGATCAATGTCTGTGGAGGGCAGTGCTGCCATGGCTGGAGTAAGGCTCCCGGCTCTCAGAGATGCACCAAACGTAAGTTACGGTACTCACAGCGGCCTTGCACAATGGGCCAGGTGTGTGTGTGTGTCAGGGTGGGGTGGGGGAGGTTCTACAGGGGGCCTCTTGAAGAAGCAGGCGCTGCCCCCGGGGATTCGAAATCTGAAACACAGTTCACCTGCAGCCTGCATAACCCTCAAGGAAGGACTGGGTTATGCGGGTCCACCAGCATTATGTTAGCCAAGACTCCTCGGCACTCAACTGTCTCATTTGAGTCAGGTGCTAGAGGAAAAAAAACCCCATTTGAGGGTAGACTGTGTGCCAGAACCAATACGATTATTTTAAACATGGCTCCAACAAATAAGAAGCATCCTTTACCATGGTGGGAGAAGAGGGATGGAAAGGAGAGATCCTTTCCTGGAATAAGGCAAGGAGAGTCACAGTACTGGGGATTAAGTTTTAAGGCTACCCAGGTGCTGAGCAAGCTCTCTGTCAATGAGCTATTAATACATTGTGCATCAATACACACAGCCCCCTCTCCCCCATTTCTAGAATTACAGACCTGATCTAACCAGGCCCAACATGATAAGTGTATAAAGCTTTCTGAGAAGAGTTGCCCGCATCCTCCATCCTCGGGGGGTCCAGTTCTTTTCCAGAATCTTTCTGCACTTGGGGTTTCTTCCAGTTAATATACATGCTTAATGGTATAGTTTTATTAATAATATATATATATATATATATATATGAGAACACTGAAGAATATTCCTTATGAACATAATGAAGTTAAAGATTAAGCTAAATGTATATCGAGGCCCCCTCGACAAGTTAGCTGAGAATAAAAAAATTTTACCTCCATTCCAGAACAAGCAAGCATTAAAATTTTTATTATTACTTTTTAAAATTTTGTGTGTGTGTGAGTGTTTTACCTGCACGTATGTCTGTGTACTATGTATGTGCCTAGTACATGTAGAGAGGCCAGAAGAGGGTGTCAGATCCTCCAGAACTAGAGTTACAGATGGTTGTTAACCATCATGTCAGTGCTGGGACCTGAACGCTGGCCCTCTGCAAGAGCAGCCAGTACTCTTCACCACTAGCCCCCAAAGTAAGCCTTACTAGATGTTCTCTTTGTAGAGTATGAGCTATTATTGTGTGAACTGGAGTGGCCCAAAATTTCAGCGGCTAGTGACGTATACTTTATGAATAAAACCCAGCAATGTGCCTTGTGCATTTGTTTGGGTTTTATAATACTGATGGGTGAGTAAAGACTTGATGCCATCACTCTGGTGACCTTATCTGTTAAAAAATGCCTTTAGTTCATGAGGTAAACAGAGGGATTTTAAGTGGATGAAGAGGACCCATGTCTGTGTTTTAGGATTTGATCAAAGAGTAATGACTGACATAGCAGACCTCCTGAGGGTCGAACTCCAGCTGCTAGATCAGAAATGCTTTGGTCTGTAGGCATTGTAAGTTAATACATACATACATACATATATATATATATATATGTATGTATGTATGTATTTAGACCAGGCTGGTCTTGAACTCACAGAGATCTGCCTGTTCTGCCTCCCGAGTGCTGGGATTAAAGATGTGTGCCATCACTACCTGGTTCCATTTTTTCTGTTCTTAACCTTTTAGATTACACTTGACAGAATTGACAGATGTGGCAGCAATCCTGTGTTAGGATTACTTCTAGTAACTGCATCTGCCTCAAAGCTGCTATGACAGGTTTGGCCTGTAACATGGTGGGTAACCTTCTGTGACAGCACCACAGCAGCAAGGTATTGCTGTGTGAAGCCAGCTACACACAGGGCAGGCGCTGGGGAGGTAGCTTACTTGATGAAGTATTTGCTATGCATGCATAAGGACCCGAGTCTAATTCCTAGAACCTGCCTAAAAAAGCCAGAGACAAAGACAGTGGATCCCTGGAGCTCGGTGGCTGGTCAGCCTGGCCTAATTGATGAGTTCCAGGCCAATGAGAGACCCTGTCTCAAAAACACAAGGTGGAGGGCTTCTGAAGAATGACATTCAAGATTGACCTGTTGTCTCTACATGCACAGCACACACATGCACATGTACTGGTGCACATGTCCTCTCACACAAACACTAACCCCACACACATACAAACGTGCTGTTTCACTAAGATTTTTTTTTGGGCAAGTGGCAGAGTGCCTTTTCTGAAAAGGAGACAACCCCAGAGATTTCCCCCTTTCTGGGGGCCCAGGGTACCCAAGAAGTCCTAGAAAGGGACTGTCTGGATAGTGAACAGTTGAATCATGATTTCCTGCTTCTCCAGGCCAGGGAGGCAAGAACATGTGTCTGCCTGTGTGTAGCTGGCTTTGCTCCCTGCAGCTCCAGAAAGAGGGGTCACTGGCCACTTGTTGGTTGAGAGAGTTAGGGCTGCATCGTTGTGGTTGGAGCTGAGGAAGTGGCTGTACTGTGCTCATCTCCTGATACCTGGGACATATACCTCTGGCTTTGAGGAGGAAGCTGTAGATAACACTGAATCTAGACAGTTGAGCACCAGTTTCTTTTCTGGAGCTTTTCTGACCAGTGCTAGAAACTCAAATCACAACAGAGCCTGGGCAGTTGAGTACACCATTCAAAGCATAGCATTTATGATATGAGTGGTTTTTTTTAAAAGCTTTTTTTTATTTATGTGCTTATTTTTTATTTTGTAGCAATATATATGTGTACACACACACACACACACACACACACACACACACACACACACACACACACGAAGTTCAGTGCCCATGGAATCCAGGAGAGGGTGTCAGATCCCTTGGGTCATGAGGTAGTTAGTTGTAAGTAGCCCAATGTGGGTGAACCCGGGTCCTCTGGAAGAGCATCAAGTGCTCTTAACTACTGAGTCATCTCTCGAGTCCAGAGATCGGTGTTTTTAATGGGAGTCTTATTTCAGGTGTGTCCTGAAAGATGAGGGAACCATTGTCTTTAGACAGGACTACCAGAGTTAACATTGGTACCGCTCGCTTGTATCCACGGATTAGCAGCATGATGTCAGAAAGGCCTTGGGTTTCGAAGACCCATGTTCACATGCTGAAGCCTCCACCAGCTACGTGGCTTTGAGGAATTCACCTGGTCTCTCTGAGGCTACACTTTCTTCTACAGAAATGACTAAACTGGAACCAGGCTCCCCCTGTTGGATTGTTGAAGGTGTCAAGGTGAAAAGGAATGGGTGTGAAATCTACTCTGAAGCCAGAGACTCTTAGGGTTTAGTTTTGGATCAAGTCAAGTAAACTCTCATTTATAAATTACACAACTTTCTTCTTTCCCTGTGTATGCATTATTTTTTTTAAAGTAATGTGGATGATTTTTTTTTCTACTACAGTGTGTATCCATTATGTTTTGGGCCAAACAAGTGTTTGGGACTTTGATTTTATTTGATTATGTGTTTATATATAATGAGATAT